TGACTAAATTCACTACCAGCTCACTTCCAGTCATGAGTAGTAAACAACCTAACTGATGGAATACAGCCCTTTAGATGACAGACCAGATGTTAGCTTGCCAAGTCATCCTCATGAGGGATCTCCTTCATAATGGGTTGGTTACAGTCTGCCTGATTTACATGACGCAAAAGGCTCTGCACTAGAGAACACATCAAAACCTTTAAGGGGCTCTTACTTGGTGCCAGAGAAGCCAACTCCAACTCATGGCAACCCCACCATGTGTGTCAAGGTAGAAATGTGCTTCATAGGACTTTCAAGGCTGATGTTTTTCAGAAGTAGATTGCCATGCCTATTTTCCTAGGCGCCACTTCGTGGATTTGAACCTCCAACCTTTTGGTTAGCAGCCCAGTATGTTAACCACATGCACCACCTGGGGGGCTCCCAAAGGCTCTACTCAAAAACCAAACCAAACCCACTGTCATCGAGTTGATTCTGACTCATTGTGACAGTATAAAACAGAGTACAATTGTCCCATCAAGTTTCCGGAAGCAGAATGCCACATTTTCTCTTGCGAAGCCATGTTGTTCTTGTTGTTGTTATGTGCCGTCCAGTCGACCCCGACTCATAGCAACCCCTCCTTGGGTTTCCAAGGCAGTATCACTACGGAAGTAGATTACCCAACCTTCCTTCTGAGGAGTGGCTGGTGGGTTTTAACTGCCAGCCTTCTGGTTAGCAGTCAAGTGCCTTAGGCACTACGCCACCAGAGCTCCTGCGAAGCAATATCGCCAACATTTTGGTTAGCAGTAGAATGCTTCAATCATGGCCAAGTGCTTTAACCGCTGTTGTCACCAGGGTTCCTAAAAGCTCTATACACCTATAGATTTTTTTTAATTGTGCTTGAGGTGCAAATTTAGAGCATAATGTTTTATATTCACCATTTCGTGTACATTTGGTTTCACTCCCCAATTACCATCTCCACCCCTAACCCACTCTCCTCCTTTCCCATCCCAGTAAACCCCCTCTTCCTGTACCCTTGTTAGTTACGCACTCCTGTCTGTCCAGGTTTTCTTCCGTGTGAATGTTGCCCCTGTGGTGCCCCATGGCCAACTGCTCTAAGGGATGTATCTCCGTAGAGAAGGTGGGTGCATCACCCTGGGATGAGTGTTCTGTATGTAAGTCTTATTTACTGCTGGGCTGAGAGCCAGACCTTGGGAGTGAGTTTTATCCCAGTCCCGAAGTGTATTCCAGGGTCATAGTCTTGGGGGTTCCACCAGACTCCATCCAACCAGTGATTCTGGTCATTATTGTGTTTTTGAATTTTGTTCCATGTTTTTCCTCCCACTCTGTCCAAGATCTCCAGTTTTGATCCCTTCCCAAGTGGTTGGCATTGGTAGCCGAGCGCCACCCAGTTCTTCTGGTCTTGAGGTCCATCATGTCTGAGGGCTGATTGTTCCCAAATGCCCTTGGTTTTCTTCACTCTTCTTCGCTTCTGATGATAGGAGACCATTAGCTGCATCTTAGATGGCCACTCGAAAGCTTTTAAGACCCCAGTCGCTACTCACCAAAGTAGGTTGTGGAACAAGATTTATATTGTATTTTGTTGTACCATTTGAGTCTGGTGTGCCCCAATACTATGGTCCTGAGTTGGCAGCTAGAATTCTTAATAGTCTTTTCAACTCTAGGAATCTATTTTACACGTTTTTTTTAGTGCCGGTTCATTTAATTCACACAACTCTGAGACAACAAATGAAGAAATGCAGGCACTGATTAGTTAAACAACACGATAAGGACGCACAGGTTTAAGCAGTTGAGCAGTGTTTGAACTCAGGCAGTAAGTCTGTCCCTGTTCATAAATAAGAACAACAGCACCTGTCTCTTCATGGTGTATGAATTGCTTAGTTCATTTATTCTTACTTCTCTCCCAAAGAAGTGGGGAAGGCACTTTAGACAGTGTGTGATGAAAAGACAGTGTTTTAGGGGCAATAATAGCAGGTATATTGAGCCCAGCTTGAAATTTCAGGAAACTGGATTTTCTTGACTTTGCTTACTTTGCTTTGACCTAAGCTTTCCTTGACCTTAGCTTACTTTGCTTTACCCAAGGAGGAAATCTCCAGAAAATGCGTGACGGGTGAACAAGGCAATGAGTAAGGGGGAAACATTTGTCTGAATTCCTCACGGCCCTCCCAAAACCTCAATATACCTGCAGGATAAACGAGTTGAAGGCACTGAACAAATTTGCAACGCTAGGCTGCTGATACACGTTTGCAGTGATTTAGAATTACCCTTTTATTAATGGCAAGGGCTTTGAGGTTGAGTTAGTTGCGCCGTAGGTATTCCACCCAGTGAGAGGCTGTTAGTATCATTAGTTGTGTCCCGGTTGTAGCGCCGCCCGGGGCTAGAAGGTCCCGCAGTTTACCTGTCGCCACCGCGAAGGCTGGGACGCTGTGGAAGCGCACCGGGCCGCGGCTACGGCCGCCCTCACACGCCACGAAGGCGGTTACTAGCCCGCAGGGGCAGTGGATGTTGACGCGGGCCTCCCGGGCACCAACTGGGGGCTCAGGCACCAGCCCGAAATCGACGGCGAATCGGCCCAGAGCTAGGACGGCATGGCCGCACATGGAACTGTAGCCCTCGTTATGCAGAAACAGGACGCCTAGGTGAGCGTCCGGCAGCTCACTGGGCACCAGAACGGCTCCGTACATGTCCCGGTGCCCCCGGGGCTCGAACATGAGCCGCCGTCGCACGTGGTCAAGGTGCTGTCGCACGTAGCGACGCTTAGCCAGCAGCGTGGGGCCGACCACCTCTGGACAGCCCGCTAGAACGATGCGCAGGGGCTCACCGCCCGTGTGCATCTCCACCACAGACAGCGCTGGGGTCCCTGGGTCATGCGGTGGCATCCAGGGCACAGCCAGCGCGCGTTCCATCGTCTGCATCCGGGATCTCTACCTCCGCCTCACTGCGCTGGCCTCAAGCACAGGACCCACCGCCTATCTCCAGCGAGAGACGCAGAACGCTTGACGGTCTCATGGGCGGGGCCTCGGGACCCAGACCCAGGAAGCGCGACTCGGGGGCGGGGCTTTGGAGCAGTTGTCCCGGTTACCAGGAGGCGGAGCTGCCGGGGCCGCGGTGGCCCGGATGTCCGGACGCTGGGACCGGGTCGGCTGTATTCGGACCTTCCCTGTTTTTGAGGGGAGATTTCGAGTGGCCAATGGGTGAGTGGTCGCCGAGGTCAAGGATAATTTTGCGTTAGCTTCTGCTTTTTTCCTACCCTGCCGGCTCTGGGCGCGGCTTCTGCTGGGGCGGCCTTTGGTTAGCGCGCATCCTCGACTCTCGCTCCTTACTCGCGTTTGGACTGACCCTGAGACTCCTCCCGTGGTTGGCTTGGTCTCGACTCCTGACGGGCTGCAGATGTGAACCGGCTGTGTGCCGCGCGCCAGTCCTTTGTTGTTTAGTTCGAAATGTCACTTCAGTTCCTTTGTTAAATGTGGAGGAAACACATTCATGGGGGTTGACTTCAAAACTAAAAGCGCGGGTGTACAAGAAACAGTAAAGGAAGCGGACGCTGAATAACCATTGTCTCCCGCTTCAGCATCAACAGGACGTTTATAGGGCCTTTCACAGAGGGACAAGGCTGCAAAAAGAAAAGGCTTAAAATTTTAGCCCCAGTTCACCAAGAGAAGTGAAAGGGAAATTGAGCAGACACAGGTCGATGATGAGCTGGTGCTTTCAAGTTTATTGCGTTGGCTTTCAGACCTTGGATTTTGAGAAACTTTCAATTAAGTTCAAATGTATTTATTAAACATCTATAGATGCAAAGCTTATATAGAAGTAGCTTCCAATTCTTTGATTTCCACCACGATGCATTATAATGTGTTACTTTAAGGCTCTGTGATTACAATTGGTGGGTTTTTTTGTTTATTTTGTTTTTTGAAGTGCAAAGAAGGCAAAGGAGCCCATAGATTTCCAAAAAACAAGTTAGAACTTTGGTGAAAGTGAAAGTATTAAACTTGAGACAGTTAAATCAGTGCAATTTTTCATTTTTTCAGCAGCACAAAAAGAAATGAAACGTTTACTTGAATTTTAAAGGAGAAAGAGCATTGTGGGCCAGGCAGTTTCTCTAATGTGAATTCATGAAGAATTTGGGAAGTGAGTGTTCAAGAGTATTCATAAAATGAAAAATTATTTTCTAAAGTAATTCACATCTGGACTACAATTGTTCAGTATTTTGTTCCACACTAGCCTGTAGGGTCTTTGACACGTTCCTCGGCATCTTTGTATTCTAGCCAGTGGAATCTGACACTCAGTACATATTTATTGAATTAATAAATCCGTGAATTAAGGAACTCAAATGTTATTGCTAAAATTCCATCCCCCAGTTGATGAAGTCAAAGGCAATCTGTAGTTCCCAGATTTTATTTTGTAAAGAGATTTTTTTTTTTTTTCTCTTTGAGATGAGAGGAGTAGAGGTTTGATGTTAAAGCAGTGACTCTCAAATGCTGGTCAGAGGCCCGGTGACAGCCCTTCATGAAATTGTCACCTGTTCTCCAGGAAAATAAAAGAACAGTGCAATAAACTTTGCAGAAAAGTGGTTTTATTTACTTTAAACCCCTGTTCTTTATTCTGAAATTAATTATTAAGTCCTTTCTGCTCCCTTGGTGTTAACTTGCAAAATAAAGACAAAATAAAAAGGTGGTACTCTTTATCAGTTCTTCACTTAAAAAAAAAAATTTAATTTCTAACCAATGAAATTTGAAAGTCTCAAACTCTAATCTAGGGGAGTGGCTGGCTGGAGATATACCAGGTTAGGTGTTGTGTTCTGGGAACAGATCCACTTTTCTGGCAGGTTCTGCAAGGTTCCAGTATTAACACTCTGCAGGGTCACAGTGTAAAAGCAGAAATAGATGTTTAAAATGGAATGTATCAAGACTGTTGTCAAATATGTAGAGTTTTAAAATTGAAACTGATTAAATATTTATGTGAAGTGCTTCAGCTATTGCATTATTTTTTTATAATTACAAAAGATGTTACTGTGCTGACATTTGTTTTTAAAAAGCTGTCGATATTCAACCAGCATGCCTTGGACTTTATTGTGGAAAGACGCTATTATTTAAAAATGGCTCAACTGAAATATATGGAGAATGTGGGGTAAGTTTTACATTTATAAGTTATATCTTCTTTTAAATCTATTTGCTTTTGAAATATTTTCTCATATAATATCTTTTTTAAAAAACATATTCATTGCTTCATAAAAGGATTAGTCATTAATAAAATTCTTTTTTGTGTTATATTGATTGTCAGTAGTAAATGATTTTTTTCTTACAGTCACAATTGCTAAGTATTTTTAAAAACATTTTATTATTTCACAGGAATTTCTAATTAGTCTATTAATGACTTGGTACAATGACTTAATAAGTTAACATTACAACTACAGAATATTTCCTTGAAATTATTTTTATAAGCGTTAATAAGGTTTTCCATTGAATGAAAATAGTCATTGAATAGTCAACTTTTTTTAAATAGTCACCTGTTTTAGAAATTTAGTAAAAGGGAGTCCTGTAAGAGCTTTATATAGTAAATATAATGTCTTTTTTTTTTTTTTGCCTTATGTTGCCTCTTTGTTATTTCTTAAAACTTCACATGTAAGCTTAGATGTTTAAACTGAAATGTGGTATCTTGTAAAATGATTTTCTTGGGTGTTGACATTCTAAAATAATGTAGAAACATAAAGTATTGTTTTCATCTGTTGTAGGTGTGCCCAAGAGGACAGAGAACAAATGCACAGAAATACTGTCAGCCTTGCACAGAGTCTCCAGAGCTTTATGACTGGCTGTATCTTGGATTTATGGCTATGCTTCCACTTGTTTTGCATTGGTTCTTCATTGAATGGTACTCAGGGAAAAAGAGGTTAGCACTTTCTTTGAATGTATCTGGATAGGCTGATGTTGGAATAATTATCATCTAGAAGACTTTACCAAATAATTATATTTTTTGGGTTGTTTTAAGTGCAGTCAGCCTATTTTTCCATAATGTTCTGATTACTTTTGACTCTGGTAAGAAAACCCAATGATACAGGGCATGCTTTAGTAACTAATTAATAAGCGAACTACCTTGTGTTTGTTTTACTATAAATGATCTGAAAGGAATATTTTTCTTTTTGTCAGTTATGTTCCTGCTTGGTTTTCTCAAAAAAAAAAAGAAAAATATTTTTTTACAGTGGTTACTATCACAAACTGTTTATCATTCCAGAACACTTTGTCATTTAGTACTACTAATATAGCATAGTGCCGAAGGCACCTGACTGCTAACCAGAAGGCTGGCGGTTCAAACCCACCAGCCACTCCTTGGAAGGAAGATGGGTCAATCTACTTCCGTAGTGATACTGCCTCAGAAACCCAAGGAGGAGTCGCTGTGAGTCGGGTCCGACTCGACGGCACATAACAACAACAACAATATAGTACAAGTGAGTCTTAAAAGTGTAGTGAAAGAATTACAAACAAAATGCCCTAGGAGTTACAAAGAATGCAGAGATAAACTATGCCTGATGGGATAGGAAAAGCATTTTTTTTAAAAAAAGGGCATTTTAGGCAGGGGGAACAGAATGATCAATGGGATAGAGATCTAAAATATGTGACCTGTTGAAGGTGGGAATAGAAGTAGTCTGGGGTGGCAAAAGTGTGGGTTGCAAATGGAAGAGAGGTAAAAAAAAGGAGTAGGAAAGGGAGGTTGAGGCCAGAAAAGGTAAAAGGTTTTTGATAAGGATGTGAACTTTATTCCACTGAGTATGTGGAGCTGTATTCTACCTTAGTACATTTCAGCAATACAAGTTTTCTTTTAATTCCTCTGGCATCTTAGAAAATGAGTTAGAGCAGCAAATATTTAAAGATAATCTGATTATAGGTTTTACAGACATAATGAAAAACATAGGTTCACAGATTCAAGAAGGAAAATAACTTCCCAAGCAGAATAAATAAAAAAACAAATATACCTTTATGCATCACAGTTAAATTGCAGAACACCAAAGACAAAAGAGAGGCAATGTGGAAGAGAGCCTGAAAGCCAAGGTGCTCCCTTCTACAGTCGCAGTAGTGCTCCAGCATTTACTCCTGCGAAATGAGTGAGTAGTCTTGAATGTTGCAGCTTAGTCAGGCCTCCGATTGACTGTAGCCCAAATCAACATTACATGGAGCAGAAAGGACTGCCCAGCTGACCCATCATACTTTAGAATAGTGAGAAGTAACCAGCAGTTGTTTCAAGCCAACTTGAAACTTTTAAGTTCTAGGGTATTTTGTTTGTCAGTGTTAGATAACTGAAACATTGTTCAAATAAGAAACTCAAAAGCACCCATAGACTAGATACTAGAAATAAAATTTAGTAAAAAGGGCTGGCTGTAAGGTAAATATTAAAAAAAAAAAAAAAAAAAAGTTATGTCCCTACATTCCATGTATAAGTACCACATCATGTGCTGTAAAGTAGTTAAGACTAGACATTAAAATAAACCTAAATGAGCTATATAAGCCACTTTCATGATTAGGAGGACCCACTATTGAAAAGATATTATTCTTCTTTAAAGTGATCTTTAGTTTCACTATAAATCCAGCTTACATTAGATTTATATTATGTATTTTGACAAGATGGTTCTGAAATTTATATGGAGTAGCAAAAGGCCAATAATAGCCAGAACTGCTTCAGAAGAATGTTGTTGTTGTTGTTAAGTGCCGTCGAGTTGTTTCCAACTCATAGCGACCCCATGCACAGCAGAACGAAACACTGCCTGATCCCGCGCCAGCCCCACAATCCTTGCTATACTTGAGCCCATCATTGCAGCCACCATGTCAGTCCATCTCGTTGAAGGCCTCCCCCTCTTTCGTTGACCCTCCACCCTACCAAGCATGACATCCTTCTCCATTATCAGAAGAATAATGTAGGTAATATCAAGCATCACTGTATTACTCAGCTGTCTCAGGGAGAGATAACTGGAACCCAGGAACTAGCTAGCCTAAAAACAGACCCAATTATATGTGAAATTTTATATGACAGAAGTGGCATAATAAATCAGTTTGGGGAAAGTATCAACTATTCAATAAAATGCTGCTGGGACACAGGGGTATCCAAGTTGGAAAATCTAAAGTTAGATTTTACTTTACATTATATATAGAAATCTGTTCCAGAGCAGTTAGAAGATTTAGACGTGAAATACAAAACTATAACTTTCGTAAGAAAATATAGGATAATATTTTTCTTATCTTGGGGTGGTGAAAGATTTCTTAAGCAAAACATTTTATTGCTAACTAGAACTAAAAAAAATTAATAGTCAACTATGTTAAAAATTAGAACATCTGTACATAAAAAGATTATCACAAACAAAATGAAATTTTAACAAGCAAACTAAGAGGAAGATATTTGAAACATATTTAAGTAATAAAGCAGCCTGGAAAAACAAATCATGATTTAGTTACACAGTAGAATATTATACAGTAGTGAAAATGACTGAGCTTCAGTTATAACCCACCACATGGATGAATCTTGGAAATGTAATTTGGAATAGAAAAAAAGAATAATCTCAGAAGATTTTCATTCGTGTGATATCATTTTATAGAGTTTAGAAATAAAACTGAACAGTGGTTTTAAGCATAACTATATTTGCATAAAAACTTTAGTAAAACAATGAAGTGTTAAACAATTTATAATGGTTGCCTTTGGGAGAGACATGGGTGTGTGGTGGGGAAGACACAAAGGTAGATAAAAGTTATTGATAATGTTCTAATTACTAGGTTAGGTGATTAGCTCACAATGTTTATTATTTGCTTTAAAATATGTAATATAATGTTTTATGTATTTTTATATTCTAAGTCAAATGATATATAGATGACTTTAAGAAGTTTTTATTAATAATAATTTGTCAAAATACTAAAGAAAAAGGATAAATGTAATTTCTGCTCTTCTGTTAGATATTTAGATAATATTAGGAGAGTCTTACCTAGGAGTACTCACTTACGCTTCTTAGTAAACAGGGTTATAAACTCTTCTAGTTTTCACATAATTGGCTTTTCTAATGTTTTAGAAGATTTTTTAGTTTCAGGATTTTTTCTTTTAAAATTTTTTTAGAACCTAGATCTTGAAACACAGTTTTTAATAAAAACTATTTAAATATTGAAATTCCTCTAGTAATTGTTGCTTTTTGTTGTTTTCTAGTTCCAGTGCACTTTTCCAGCACATCACTGCATTATTTGAGTGTAGCATGGCAGCTATTGTCACCTTACTCGTGAGTGATCCAGTTGGTGTTCTTCATATCCGTTCATGTCGAGTAATGATGCTTTCTGATTGGTACACGATGCTTTATAACCCAAGTCCAGATTATATTACCACAGTGCACTGTACTCATGAAGCTGTCTACCCATTGTAAGTATTTAGACTTAAGATCACTTAAAAAAACAAAGCTGTGATTATTACTGTAGATTTTATTTCAGTAGGTTGGGCATTATAAAATGGCTTCTAGGCACTGGGGGAAATATGCAGAAATCATTTTCTTCTCTTAAGGCATACATTATCTTCTCTTAAGGAGCTCTGATGGCGTAGTGCCTAAGGCATTTGACTGCTAATGAGAAGGCTGGCGGTTCAAACCCACCAGCCACTCCTCAGAAGGAAGATTACTTCTGTAGTAATACTACCTTGGAAACCCACGGAGAGGTCTCTATGGGTCGGGATCAACTCGAAGACATGGAGTTTGGTTTTTAAGGCATACATTAAGGAGCTCTGGTGGCGTAATGCCTAAGGCATTTGGCTGCTAACCAGAAGGCTGGCGGTTCAGACTCACCAGCCACTCTGCAGAAGGATGACTGGGCAATCTACTTCCATAAAGATTTACTGCCTTGGAAACCCAAAGGGAGTTGCTGTGAGTCAAAATCAACTACATGGCATTGGGTGTTTTTTTTTTTTTTTAATGTTTCTTTTTTTTAAAATGCATTTTATTGAAATATAATTTATGTACAGTGAAATACATAAAACTAAAGTGACATGGGTCAATGCTTTTTTTTTTTTTTTTGCAGTGTTCTCTCCCCTCCCCTCCCACCCCTGGCAACTAACAAAGTTTCCCTTCATATATAAACCTTGCCTTGACCCTCCACGAAAACAAACTAATACTATATTTGTCCTTCTGTGATTGACTTATTTCACTCACAATCATGTCCTCCAAGTTCATCTATATAATGTGGTGTTATGCAGACTCTACATTCTTTTTTAGTGCTGCATAGCATTCCATTATGTGTGTATGTACCATAGTTTGGTCATCCACTCTTCTGCTGTAAATCTTAGAGATAAGTCCCTTGCCAGATATGTAATTATTGGCAGATATGAACTTGTTGCTGTCATTTTTGTTACGTGCTTTTTCGTGGTGTCAATTTCTTTGTTCCATATAATTTTCTATGCTGAGCTCATTTTGTTTATGAATCATGTTATCACTTCCTTCATTGCTATGGTTTTAGTATTTGCTGAATATTTTTGCTGGTCCTCTTTTTGATGTGAAGGTTTATCATTTTTGTTTGAGGTTACCCTGTGATTTATAGTTTTCATCCCAAGTTTAGAACAGTCCATTCTATCTTGTAGTTGTCTTGACTTCCCTACCATCTAGAAGGTCTATAACGACAAAGTTTTTTTCCCTCTTTTTGGTTTGTAGTCATCCTTATTTGTTAGTTGATGTCTCAGGTTCCCTGTTTACAGTCTTGTAGGCTTATTTACTTTGGATACTTCATAGCTGGGTTGGTTTCTGGGTTATATCATCATGTGTGTTAATGGTCAGTTGTTGTTGGCTGTTATTGCTTCTCTGTCCAGAGGCACTCTTTAGCATCTCTTGTAAGGTTGGTCTGGTTTTAATAAATTCCCTTAATTTCTGCTTATCCTGAAATGTCCTAATTTCATCATCATATCAAAGGAACAATTTTGCTGGGTACGTAATTCTTAGGTGGAAGTTTTTCTCTATATACCATCCCATTGTCTTCTAGCCTGCGTGGTTTCTGTTGAGAAATCCGAGCTTAGTCTTATTGGTTGCCCCTTGTAGGTAGCTTTTCATTTTTCCCGTGCTGCTCTCATAATTCTTTCTTTGTCTTTGTTTTTGGTAAGTTTGATGATGATATGTCTGGGTGATTTTCTTTTGGGGTCTATCCTGTTTGGGGTTCATTGGACTTCCTGAATGGATATATTCTCATCTTTCATCATACCAGG